GTTGCCTCTGGTGGTACACGTTTCGTGCCGCCACTTTTCGGTATCTGTTCAGTTCAGTTTTGATTTGCGTCCTTCAATTATTTCTTTTTGTTCCACACGGAGGAGAAGAAGGAGCGTCTTCCCTTTTCCTGCGCTCTCTCTCTCACTCTCTCTTACACGATGAACTTTGTTAATTGTTGTGTGCCTCAAACGCATGAAAAGCTGCTACCTCAAAAACCTTGCGTCAGCGCCAGCATAAAAACTGCTTTTCTTTTCAAAGCTAACTTTTTTTTTTTGTTAATATTATCCGGAAATGCACTAACCGCTTTATCAGTAGTAGATAAGATTTGTTGGTTCCAGGCAGGTGCTGTGCCATGTAAACGACCAGCTGTTGAGAAAAGTGGTGTACCGGTGTATGCAAATGGTGCTACAGCTCAGCTAGCTGCGGCCCAAGTACCGCAGGCCACCTTCAATCCGTATCTGATCCCGAGTATTGGCTATATGCCAACAGTGTCATGTAAGTTTTGCAGATTTTCTTTGGAACACGCCATTTCCGAACTGCTGCTCCATGATTCGCCGCTTAGCAGCATTTTTTAATATCTTTTTTTTTTCTGTTTTTGTCGCATTTTGCTGGGAATTTCACATAATTTTGATGCACCACTAGAACTGATTTATTGCTGCTCATTTTTCCCCGAGCATTCTTACGCCAGGCATATTTACCGCATTCTTTGGGAAATTTTTACTCACTTTTCTGCTTTTTATGCTGCATCCACCACGAACGAGCATTACAACGGGACCAGGCCTCTGCATATGTGGATTTGCGCAGATGAAACAGATAAAAATTCAAAACGTTGTCCTCGCTTTTCATCAACAGCAACTACTTGCTGCCAGGGTCCCCCTTGTGATAAATGGTACGCTGCACAGGTTGGCCATTGGTACTCGCGTCCGAATCATTTGCTCGAATCCGGCGAGGAAAAGGGGGGTATACTTTCTTGAACCTGTTCTGGCGTGTCTGGCATATTTGGACAGCCGGTTTTCTGGCAAATAACGCAGTTTTACAGTCAGTGAAGTCGATACATTCAGAACTTCAGCAGCATCTTCCGCACCACTGCTTCTCCCACGGTTCTTCTAAATTAGGCTAGATATCAAAGGCATACCACTGCAATCCCACACCAAAATAAACTGAGAAGCAAATAACATAATTTCAATAAATGGCCAGCGCATCGACTGCCGGTGCGA